TAAAGTAAATATTCTAAGTACATAAAAGACTAAGTCATAGACTTTGATAGAAATAACCTATTTATAGAGCTGTTTTCTACTAGTTGATGGAAATAAATTCTTTCTGGCCCCTCCATCGACCTTTGAAAATTCCTATTTATTTCTTCCATATGGCTACCACCACATACATATACACACATCCCATATACCCACAATATGAAGGAGAACTTCCAAAACAGATACAACCATTTCTGGGTTATAAGACACAATATAACCAAGATTAGAACTCCAAGTTGAAATTTTAGAAGCTACTGTTAATAGTATTTTGTATCAATTTTTTTTTTCACATGTTTGTTAAGATCAATAGCAGCTAGGTGTTGCAAGGAGTAGAGTGCTGAACCTGGAATCAGGAGGATCTGAGTTCAAATCCAGCTTCAGACATTTGCTATCTGTGTGACCCTGGGCAAGTCATTTAAGCTCTGTCTACAATGATCTTCTCATCCGTAAAATAGAACTAGTGTCTATCATCTATGGTTGTTTCAAGCATAAAATTAGATGATATTTGTAACCCACTTTGCAAACCTTAAAACATTGCATAACTACTAGCTGCTGCTATTGTTTTTAACAACACCCCCTGCAAAGAAAAAGAAGTTGATTCTATATAATTCTGAAAAATTAATTCAATAAGCTAATTAACTAAATCTAAAATTCATTAGTGTGGTGGTGGGAGGGGAATGGAACTAAAATAAAATAAAAGTTGGTAACTTCAAAAAGTTGAAACAGAAGTAAAAGTTTATATATTTAAAGGTATGAAAAGCCTAAAAGAAGAAAAGTAGGTAAGAGAGGAAGCATGCAATATCTGATTAATAAATAATTCCCTTCTAGCATGCTCTCACTTTTCAAAATGCTAAAAAACCTGAAAATGACAGCTTCTGAGTTTTCCTCACCTGTGGTATAGTATATGCCTGAAAGCAGATCTAAGAAACTTGAAATCTATGCAGAAATTTCAGTGGGTCCATGAACTTGAATGGGGAAAAAAAATAGACCTTTATTTTCCCTAAACGTTAACTGAAATTAACTTTAAAATATAAATAAATATAACTTTAAAATATTTTTTGAGATGTCCATAGAGTTTAGCTGACTGCCAAAAGCATCTATGACACAAACAGGTTAAGAACTACTCCCATGAAGTCATTTTTTCTACTTCTATAACCAAAAATAAACCTGTCTTGTTTGATTCCCTCCCCCCATCTCTTCCTTTTGCTCCCATTTTCTATTTATTATTAGAGGTTCATGGTACAGTGGAATAAACATTTGACTTTAGAATCAAAGAGCTGGGTTTCAGACCAGAGTCTATCACTGATTGGTCACATGACTTTGACCAATAAGTCACTTTGGACAGATCACTTTGTCATCATCGTATACTTCTTCTTCTTCTTCTTCTTCTTCTTCTTCTTCTTCTTCTTCTTCTTCTTCTTCTCCTCCTCCTCCTCTTCTCTTTAATTAATGGAGAGCATGGGATGAAAATCCTCTTCTGATCAGTAACTAAGTTATCAGTTTGTCTCACCTGTGGTCTAGCTAGTCATTCTTATAAATGAATGGACCTCCAAGCTTCTTGGTCCCTATCCCATTTTCTAAAATGTCACAAGTTGCTTGCCTGGTCCTACAACTTGACCTTTATTATTGAATAAAAGTGAGCCACCAGCCTGTACATGACCTAGTAGCAGTTTCAAAGTCTCCAAGAACATTTAAGCCATGACAATCCCCAAAAGTCTACTTTGTGGATTCCAGATTGATTTTCCCTATAGGAAAATTACAGGGAAATATGTCAATTCTGGAACCTTTTTGGTCCATTCTCTTCTACATCAGAAGTATTTCTTTATGAGGATTCAAAATTGACCAATCTCCACCAACCGCTCCTCTCATCATGTGGAAACATAGAATAGATATAGAGTAGAATCACTGCAGGTCCTAAATATCCAGATTTTTTTCCTAATAATAATCACTAAACTTAGGAGCTGTCCCAAGAACCCCCAATGTTCCCTGAAATGTGAGTGTTATCAGTTCAATGCCCTCAATGTTGTCTTTCTGATGCATTCTGTGAGACAATGCTGCTGTTTAAGCATGTGGATACTTTACTACCTAATCCTTGGCTAAGGATCCAAAGTTGAACTGCCTAAGGCTGTTTTTCACTCTATATCAGTGTTACAGAACAGTTTCTGTCTTTTTAAATTATATAATGCTGTAATTGAATTATTTTTATTCAATTCTTCCTGTTTCTTGATTTCCAGAGTTACCTCTTCCTCCCCCTACAATTATCAAAAAGTATACCACTGGAGTATATTTATTGTCCCTAAATTTTCTTAGACTTTTTGGGTAAAAGTAAAATTACTCTTGTCCTTTGAAAATAACATTGAGAACAACTGTCATATTGTCCTACAAAGGCCACCTTGACTTTGATTTCAAAGATGAAATTTGGGGCTGAATAGACAACTGTTCTGATTAAGTGTAGCATTTCTTATTTTCTCTTTATTTCCCTATTCTCCTCTCTTTCCATACCATTTGGAGCAATATATAGAACTGAAAAAGGCACCCTGACTTTTGAGAGTTATAATAGAAACCAATTTATTCACTGTTATCAAAGAAAGTATTCTGAATATATCTGCCACTTTAAATACAGAAACATTTAAAATCTTAATCATTTTGTGGAAATATTTCTCAAGATGTATTTTGTATCTTCCTGTCTTATTAAAAAGAGTGAAAGGATACTTTAGTACTTCATAGGTTTGCAATTTCATCCATGTTAGTAGTCCTTCAACTGATGAAATTTGCAAACCCTCTAAATCTGAGTAGATGATCTTCAGGAGTTATTGTGGCCAAAATAGATATCAGCCATTGGACAACTTTTGGTTCCTAGATAACACACTTAGTTCATTACTAAACCTGTAATCAAAATTTTCTTAGCTTAGCTATGCCTACCAAAGTTTGATTTCATCAGGCATATCCTTGAAAGACTTGAGTTATGTACCTCTTCACCCCTAAACCCCTTCCAGAGTGAAATACTGGATTAGACCCTGGAGTGAAGAAAATAATTTCAAAATAATGCCTCTAACACTATTTGTTGGACCTTGAGCAAGTCACTTAACCTCTGTCTACCTCAATTTCCTCATCTGTAAAATGAAGATAATAGCTTGCATGTTACAGGATTGCTGTGAAAATCAAATGACAACAGAGGCAGATACATGGGGACACTGGATGGACCATGGAACCTGGAGTCAGGAATACCTGAATTCAAATCTGACCTCAGACATTTACTCCCTGTGTTTTTCCAGGCAGGTCACTTAACCTCTCTCTGCCTCAGTTTTTTTTTTTTCATCTGTAAAATGGTAAAAAAAAAAAAAAAATAGCACTCACCTCCCAGGGTTGATATGAGAATACAATCAGTTCATATTTGTAAAGTACCTTGCAAGCCTTAAAGCATAATATAAAAGCTGGCTATTATTTTAATGAATAATGCCCTTAATTAATCAAACAACAAGTCTTTAATGAGCTTTTTCTATGTATCAGGCACTATACAAACCACTGGAGATACAAATACAAAGGATGAAATGATCTCTGCTCACAAGTAGCTTATATTCTCAGGGAAAAGATAATCAAAACATACATAAATCTACATAGCTTATCCATAAAGTGAATGAATACATATACCTGTTGGTTTTTCATACTTAAATCTTTCATTTAGTTTGTTTTTTTTGTTCCAGTAACAAAATGATTTGGCAAGTAGTCCTCTAAAAAGTTATCCATTGTAAGGGTAGTCATACCCTCTCTTGTGTGTTGAAAAGTCTAGGTTTTGCAGCAGATCTTCCCCCACTCACCCCCCATGCTGCTCAGATACTTCATCATTTAGGATCATAGAATCAATGTTCTGGAACTGAATGGGCCCTTAGTGGCCATCTAATCAAACGATTGTAGATTTAGAGTTGGACAGGATATTGTAGGTCATCCCATCCAATGACTCCACTTTAGAATTGAGTCAACTGAGACCCAAGAAGTTTGAATGACTTATCTGCAATAACATAGTAAGTAAATATCAGCTAGAATTAGAATCTAAGTCCTCTGGTTTCAGAATCACCACCTGATTCTTGACTATATTCTGAAATTTTGAGGTTTCTAGGAATCTGATTTCCAGATAAGTGGAAATTTGCTTTATAAATACAAATCCATTTTTAATCTTCCATGTTTCATATTGAGTAATCTTTTTTTTTAACTGAATCTTGAGTTTCATTGACATAGGAAGTTTCTGGTGAGGAACTTCCTCAACCAATATGGATAAATGACCTCTGCCCCAGTTTTAGAATTGCCTTGTGTACCAACAGGTTAAATTCCTTACTCAGAGACCTGAAGATAATATGTGTCAAAGGTAGGACTTAAACCCATGATGTCCTTATTGGAAAGCCAGTTCTGTATTCATTGCAACACATGATGCCCCTCTGAAGTACACCATCTAGTGTGTGTGTGTATGTGTGTGTGTGTGTGATATCACTCAACTTTTTCATTAGTTAGAATTAGCTCAAGTTTCAGACTCTGCTACTCTTTCAATTCTAGGATTCTTCAGCTCTTGGTCCATGTAAAAACCTTAATTAGGATACAAATAAGTAATAATCTGTCCTAGTGATTCCCTAGGTTATCTACTGATCCATTCTCCAGGTACACACATATATACTTTATAACATAGCAGATTTGCATGCTGCTAATAAAAGCATAGTCTTTCACCAACTAACCTCTTCTCCCTTCAAAATAGTTTCCTTCTAAGTGCCTCATTCTGTTGTTGTATTTGAGTAGATTTAACTCTGGAAATGTTCTATAGTCTTACTCTCCACTGGTGAAGATCAGCGGTTTTAGCCTTTCAGAGTATTAATTTAAAAAAAAAAATTTCCTCTTGACCAGGTAATGTGTCTACTATTCCATTACTGAAAATGAAAAATATTACATGTATTTTACTGTCTTTCTTTCATTTGTAGCACAAGAAGAATGGGCCCCAACCCGTTCCAGCCTAAAGGCACCACCTCCAAGGGCAGCCAGAGGGGGATACAGGGAACACCCCTATGGTAGATATTGAAGGTCTTCCTCATCTGTGACCTCACCTCAAAGACAATTAATAGCCTGTGGTCTCCACATAAACAGCAACAAGACAAGTAATAGTCCATTTCTTTTCTATCCTAGGGATTACTGCTCATGATTACCCCCTGTACTTCTTGTGTATTTCTTCCTATACTGTTGGCGTGACATTGACATTAGTATTATTTTATAACATGGACTTAAAAGACTTTGGCAAGCATCGTCTATAAACCATGCAGTAGGATGATATACTCTCGGTTGTTTTTCATTGTTGTGTGTATTTTATTTCATTTTATTTTTTATTAAAAGAAAAAGCATGAAGCTGTTACCAGATCTTGAGTTTCTACCAACTAGCTGAGGTTGAGCTTTGTTTAGGGTTGCTAAAAGATTGTAATATGATTTTTGAACTAGATGATAATCAAGATGTAGATAAGCTGTTTTAACCTGTCTTTTTAATATATGTTAGTTAGATGAAGATGTTCGATATTCAGTTTGTAAATTTAATTTTAAATGCTGTTTTAATGGGGTTGAAAACAAGCAGCTACTGTATGTATGTAGCTAACTGAATTTGTTCAGTGTTTTAACCTGTATTTGTTAAAAAAGAAAAAACCACATAAAGTTCCATGTGTAAGCTTCTCTAAATAGGAAACCACAATTTTGTCAAATATGTTTGCCATAATTTGTCAATAAAGCTGAAACCTTTTGTAACAAACTAAATTTGGAATTACTTGTTTTCTAGCTTTAAATGCTTGCTTTATTTCTTCTTCAAGAGATGCCTAAAATGTTTTCTATTTAAAATTACAAAAATGAACCCAAGTCTGTTTTAAGAATTTTGTGTAAGCCTTTAAAAAATTGTATTAATAACTTCTGGTTGTTAAATAATTTAAAAGTTAACAAACTAAACTGTTACATGAATCATGGTTAGTAAACACTAATGTATAACATGTTAATGGAAAAACTGGATTTAGAATAATAAATGGATTTTAAACTATCCTCTAAGCTTTATCTTGCTAAACACAAACTCTGATTGACTTGTTTGTATTAGCATGTCTCACGTGAGAATGTAATGGAGTATAAAGAGGTAAGATTACCACTTACCACTGTCTAAATGCCTAGTTCTTCAACCTTTGAGTTTCCCCGCACATTAAATATCCCATTCAACATGTAAGCATTGCATAGATTCACGTTCTTGTTTTCACTCTGAGGAGTGTGTCGACAGCATTTGCGTAGTTTCTAATAATTTGTTTTGACAAACAAATCATCAGTGTCACTGGCCAGTTGTTGCTATTCAACCTCAAAAACTTTATTTGTAATTTTCAGTGCTAAATATCACCGCCCTTGAAGGCAGTTTAGAGGGCTGATATTTCTTTTGAGACTATCAGACTTGATGGCTGATGATTATTAAGGAAATATGTCGCAGGACTCAAAGGATGACTAAACGTTAAACAGGTAACACTAATAGTAACTCTGTAATTTTGAGTATGCAACAGTAATGTTAAATATTCTCAGTTATTAAGTTACTGATAGTTAAAAAAGTAAACCTACAAAAATATAACAAATAGGTTTATAGGCTATTAAAACCACTAATTAACATTAACTAGAGGCACCAAAATTCTTTTACAATATATAACCCTCAAGGTAATAAACAGAACTAAAATTAGCAATAATAGTAATGCAACTCTTGCTAACATCAAATATATAACCTAAATTTTGATGGAGAAAAAAAAAGTGAAAGACTTGATGGTAGGGATGGATGCCAAAACTGTTAATCTTTTAAAATACAGTTTTTTTGTTTACAGTGGCTTTTTGTCAATGTGATTGGTTTACTTTTTTGATGCGAATAAAGCATAGATATATTGCTGTTCAGTTTGTGAACAAAAATTTCTTGCAGCTGGAGTTGCATGCTAATAGCTTTTTGAAGCGTGTCCTGTCATCTGAAAGTGAATTTTGGTAGCATTGGCTTAAGTTGAATTCTGTTGGGTTACATTCACTTTTTATTCTGTCTCACTGTTCCAGGTTTCTACAAGCGAAGGGCACATAACTGAGCAGCAGATGTGATGTGTTAGGAAGTATTCAGGTAAGCTTTTTTTTCCCCTTGTACTTCAAAATATGTCGCCTCAGCAACAGAATGTCACAGCTAGCTATGGCAGGAAGTGTGTACATTATAGACTGCCTGCTATAATTCTGGTAAAGTTGAGATTGCTGCCAAATAAGCAGTTGTTTTATATGCCCTTCAAAGTCAGTGGTCTTTTCTAAATACTTGATGCTAATTAAGTTTAACATTTACTGGGAACAATTTTCTGCAAATAAAAATTTCATAGTTTTAATGCCAATGGTTTTTAATATCTGATGCACATTAGTCTGTGAGTTCCACTGTTTTTCACTTTAGTGATGCAAGGCTAATGATTAATGTGCAATGTTGGGAAAAGCCATGGTATGGTACTGCAAGGAGAATTGGTTCTGGAAGCAGAGGCCCTGGGTTCAGATTCTGACTCCAAGGTTTATCTAGTATGTGACATTGGGTAAGTCACTTGCTTTTCTGGACCTCAGTTTCCTTATCTACAAAAATGAGGGAGGTGGACAAATTAAGTCTCCAACTTCCCTTCCAGCTCGAGACATAGGATCCTATAATAAAGAAATGGTAAGATTTATTTTAAATAGAGTGACTAGTTTGAATTTTTCATGTGTTTTTCTCTTAGCTCCAAGCCTACAATAGATAGCTTTTCAATTAAAAACCATCTTCATTTTCACCAATAATTTCAACCATTTCGACTAGTTATACTTTTACTGATGATAATTCTAAGGTTTTCCACCAAGGGAGGTGCTAACAAAGCAAAAATAGAAATGGATTTCCTTCTTGAAATATACCTATTTCCGAGGAACCTAAATTTTATGTTCTCTTTCTTCTCTCAAATTGTTTATGAGTAGAAAAGAAAAAATATCATTTGCCTTTTCACATGATAAACTTTTTCACTCTTTCAGCTTGTTAAAATAGTATTTGAAATATAACGAGTTTCAAAAAGTCACTTCTGCCTTAGTACAGAGGGAAAAGAGCTCCAGAGTCAAAGAAGGTATCATCATGCATTAAAAAAAGAAAAAAAATCCACTTTCCTAGGTAAGGTATGAAAGCTAAAATGTGGTTTCAATCCCATCCTTAGACATTACTGGAATCATTTTCATGTTTCTATTTTTTTGGGGGGGGGAAGTAAGCTTTAAAATCAATCATGTATCAGAAAATATTGATTTACTTATCAATTGGAGAGCTTGCCCACCTATTACTCTCCAACACTAGTCCTCTGATCATTCTTTAGGTATGAGACTGGACTTCATGAAAGTGGGTAATTAAGCCAAAAGAAGAATCAGGCTTTCGATTCCTGCCTATCCCTAAGGCAAGAGAACCAGAAAATGTAACTCATGATACTCAGGCAATAGTGGATGAGGATAGCTGTAGGACATTCTGGGAAAGGGCAAAAGATGCAAAGATGATTCCAATTTTCTTTCCAAGTGAGAAATTCCTTTTCTGACTCAGGCTTTGCAGTACCTGGTCTGATCTAGATCAATCCCCAAGGGTGTACAGACTAATAGGCCTCAATTCTTATAGCCTGTGACCTCTTATGACTTCTCTAAAACATCACCAGAGATAGAACAGAAAGAAACAAATATCTGTGGTGCCTTTTGCAGGCCAATGAAGTCCTCCTAAAAGTTCTTTCCCCTATAAATTAACCCCAGGATTGAACCCCTAAATGGAATAAAAAGCGTCACTGAACATGACACTAAACTAGTCATACACCTATATATATACAGACACATATATGGACACACACAAACATACACACATAAGCATGCACATAGATGAGAGGCATTTTGGCATAATTGAGAAATAGCCATCCTCAGAGTCTGGAAGCTACCTATGTTGAAGGAGTGCTTCTGATACATATTGGCTATGTGATCCTGCACAAGTCATTTAACTAACTTCTCAGTGCCCCAGGAAAAAGGAAAAGAATATATATTCAACTGTAACACTTGTGATTTCACTGGTTTAGGGAAACTGCCCCATAAGAGAAATTTCCCTCTGCCCATGCACATCCACAACTTAATAGTTCTGAAGAATTGTCTGGGATATTGAGAGGTTAAGTAATTTGTCTGGGGTAGCGTATGTATTAGAGATGGTCTTTAAACAGAGATATCTTTCTGACTCTGAGGCCTTCCTGACTGTTTTTCTCTGTCTCTGTCTTTCCCTGTCTCTCTCTTCCCCTCTCACTCTGTGTGCGTCTTTGTCTTTCTCTCTCTTTACTTCTTTCTCTTCTCCTTTCTTTTTCTTCTTCCCCCTTTTCTCTTCTCCATTCCTCCCCCACACCCATAACTTCATAACTTTTGAGAGGGCTCTTTATTGTCCTAAAAATACATTTTAAGTGAAATAATATCCAAAGGAATTTGAAATAGTCATTACCGAGAACAGGAAATTAAACATCTATTGCTGATAACATCGTTCATCATTTTCTAGTACCTAAGGTTAAGACTGAGTCATTTAAAAAAAAACACATAATCAAATAAGATTCTAATAAAATTGTGCTTTTTTCCCCTTCCCTTATGGAAAGGCAGCAAGGTTAGTGGAAAAAGCCCTAGACTTTTAGTCAAGAAACATGGGTTAGAGTCCTAATTGTGTTACTTTAATAGCAGTGCAACTTAGATGACTGAATTTCAGTCTCTAAGCCCTCATTTCCTCATTTGTAAAATATGAACAAAAATTGTTTAAGAGCCCACTTCAGAGGATAATTTGAAAGAATTCTAAATTATAGATGTGATACATATGCTATTGTTATTAAATATTTCTTGATGAAAAATTAATATTTCTGTAAATGAATTTGTATGGCATGCCTGTGGGTGCTATATGACCTCTTTTAAGCAAAAGGGGTATCATTAAAAACACTGTCATAGTTAACTTCCAAAATTCCCCTAAGAGAAGCTGACTAAATAATATAAAAAACTCAGTGTATTATT